ACCAATGCTTCCAACAACAGATGGTGGTTTTATGCCTATTTTAAATCCCACAATATCAGATTCTGGTAGCACACAAGCTTCTATTCCCAAGCAGGAATACATAAATTATAGAAATATGGAATATACTAATAACAGTTTTGCAGCTCCAGAAAAAATACCTCCAATAAATATAATTCAAAACAACATAATGCATACAAAATCTAAAAGTGTAATTCATGAATTAGAAGCTTACATAAACCATAATAACGGTACTCAAATAACTTTTAATATGACCAGAAATGTAAAGGAACAAAATAGTAATCCAACTAATTTGAATGAGCACAATTTATTCAAGGATTTGACTAAAACTGAAGATATAGAAAAAGAAAGCATTATAACAACAGATACAACCAATGACATGTCGGAGCAGACATGGATTGAGTCTACTACCATTCCACACTATTCTTCAATACCGGTGACATTAAAACCATTAATGAATAAAAACATGGATAGCCAACCTACTGCACTATCAGCTGTTTTAATACCATCAAATGAAGAGTTGGTAAGACGAGAGTACAGTAAAAGGCCAGCTACGATTACTAAAGTTAGTTTGCCACATTTGGAGCACTCTGATGCAAATAGCCATTATATACCGATAAATAACCGAGAGGCTAAGACTCAATTCTCTGATAAAAAACATAATACACATTCAGGAACAAAAAATGAGGACGATAAGGACTGGTATTATAAAAACTACAATAATTCTAATTTAGATCCGTATATTGCACCTGACTTGAGTACTTCAAAAAGTAATTCATTTTTATATATGAAATCTATAGTTTATTGTTTGCCATTGTATTATTTCATGTACGTAGTGAATAATTTAGATATTAGAGTATAATAATATAAATGCAAGTAGAAAAAAGAATAAATAAATAAAAATTAAGTACATATTACTTCTACTATTTATTTATTTCTTTTCCATCGGAGGCTGCATTTTGTCCCATGCATTCATCAACAATTTCGAAAATAGTGTTTGTCTTGTCCATTTTCATCTAATGGTAATGGTATTCGGTACCGGTACCTTCTTGGGGTATACTTTTATTTATCTAATACCACCACCATGTTGTTGGACCACTGCATACCTACACTTACCATGTAAAACGCAAACGCATAAATAGTATTAGCCGGCTCATTCATGCAACAAGAAAAGCTGCTGTGTGGCCTGCCACTCAAAAAAGTTCGCAATCTGTTTTGCGTACGATTAACAAAACTGTTTTCTATTGGTATCTCCAATAGAATGCTGTTTTATAAAATTGATGATATACAGATGCACGTAAAAGTATAACAGTTGACTCACTTATGCAATCAAACATATCCTTAGATAGAAAAGTCCGTACTTTTATGACTTTACGTGTGATGCACCCTTCAAGACAGTCGGTAAGTAATAAGGTTGAACTTGCCACCGCAAACATGTTGGGTGTGGCTTTCTTAATAAGCGCCCTATAAAAAATATCTATGCACAACCAGAAATGTGCACCCTCTGTAATAAATAACTGATGAGATCATATAATTCATTCTTCACGGACTTTGTTACTTGTGATTATGAACTAGCAAATTTTCAGTTCACTCTTTGTCTTAAAAATCTTCTTATCTACTTCTGACTAATATAACAGCTAATATGAAATAAACTTTTCTGAAGAAAATAAAAACATAACCATTCTTTTTTGCTGCCGTAGTCCGGTAAAATACAGCCGTTATGTTACTCACAGTTCCTAACTACCTACCGAAATTATTCGTAAAAGTTTAACAGGCTGATGAGGACAAAAATACGCAGACTGAAAGACAAAAATTCCAAAAATTGCTGATTTGGCGAAAAATCAAGTCCAATGTTTACTGGTACTCTATAACATTGAACTTGATTTTTTTTTACAAAATACTGAAGTTACAGATATAATTTTTCTAAAAAATTAATATTGTATTGTCGTTGTCTGGCGTATGTGGACTAGGAGAGACCTTGATTCAGCTGTAGTTTGGGCGATGCTATATCCCTTCAGCAATGCAAATTGACGGTCGGCATATGAGGTGTTGAACTGTTGAAGTGCTTGTATAAGTAGTAAAGTTATCCGAGTATAAAAACGAAACTTATCGAGGTTTCGTGCTCCGTTTCTGGTGAATGCAGAATGGTGTAAAACATGGTGACGTTATTTTTCTAAAACTCCTCACTGCTGCATTGCAATATGTTTTCCAACTTCTGGACTGGAAATGATACGGTAATAAAGTCAATGAATTATACATAATTTACTTCGGAGTACCTTATCATTATTCTCAAAGACCTCAGTAGTGATAACCACTGTATGTGGTAGGGCCATGCTACAGCTATACTATAGTTGTAGCAAGAATGTGTTGGCTCGACCGCGGAAGGACAACGATCTCACAGAATACCAACGTAAAATAGCTGCTTAATGCTGTGTTTCGTATGGTTAGAGTAGATAAGCGGAGAATCTATTTACTGGAAACGAGGCATTCTATCTTAGTCCTCAGGGGTGACGACGCTTCTACATTTTGACTCTTTATTGAGGATCGATGTAGACGTCTATGGGTCACAGCATCCACTTACAGGTGGACTGTGTGCCCTTTTTCTCAAAAAAAAAACTAGAAAGCGAAAGCTGAAGTTGATGTTTCCGAAAGTTGCATCTTGCGGTGTTGTGTGTGTTCACATCACGCCTGTTGGTCCCGATTTATGCCAAGCCATTTTGAGTTTTAGAGCTATACCTTTTTCAAATAGTTCTCTAATAGAATTGCAAAGTTGAGGATCAACGTCTTGAGAATGAACAAGAGCTTGGTAATCGATCGAAAATGCCCTGAGTGCTTTCGCTCGCCACCACACCGGTCGTGGGTGCTATTTCATACACTTTGTCTGCTTAATCTGCAACAGTTACTAGCAGCATATCCGCTTGCGAAGCAATCACCGTCTGAATATTATGTGGCAGATGACTGGACCACATGGTACGCAAAAAACTGTAGGTCCTAGGGTTTTATATGTGGAGTGTAGAAGTAAGGAGTACAGACTGTATATTAAAAAGTGTCCATAAAAACCTTTAAATAAGGGTGGCGCCACTATAGCTACGGACTAAATTTTAAAAGAACGCACCGAAAAATATTAGTGGGATAGACGACTTTTTCGAGGTTATATTTACTAAATACAATTATTTTAGATTTTAGAGCTACTAATCGGTTTAGCAGCACACTTCACAAACACAGCACAAACCGGCGACAACTGCTATGTTCATTTCATCCCAGTAGCTCCAGTGCTGTTGTGGAGAGTTTTTGAGCTGTTATTTACTGCTTACAGATGACAACTTTTTCAACTATTCTACTATGGGAGTTGGTACTCCTTACTTCTACAATCTATAGTTTTATATTAAAAGTTATGACTGATGATGTTTTGTCTGTAACATTATTTCTGTACATGGCCTTTTAGTGTTTTCCGAAAAAGAAATTTTTTTCAGAAATAATTAACAGTACCTAAGTGGTACAAATCTATATTACAGATGTGAAAGGCAGAGTCGGGAAGGGACGCCCTTGACTAAGGTTTATCGACCAAATTGGCGATATATTAAAAATGTGCCAGATTACGAGTACCCTTAACTGACGAGCGTGTATGCGTAGATATATGGATGTAAAGGAGGCGAGAGAGGTGTTCCAGGATCGTGCCAAATTGAATTCCGTAGTCTTTTCCTACCTCTCTGGATGACAGGCGTGAGTGTTCATGTATGTATATACTACAATATAGCCGGTCCGGCTAGTCTGCAAATGCTTTAGTTCTGTAATAGCTTCGGCGCTGCGGGAAGTGTAGCCCTTCGCCCTTGCGTACGTAGCAAATTGCAGGCACTCGTACCTGCAATTTGGTACAGCGGATGGGGGCTGCTCTCCCTCTACACCTACGGCTTTACAAAAACATTCTAGGGGTAGGGCAGACAAGAACAGATTCCACCATCTTATTTATAAAGTCAGATTGTCCTAAACTCTGCTATGATAGTGGTAAATGAAATAATGTAATGTGAATTGTTATAATTTTGTTTTCTGAAAAACATCTTCGACTGTTCTCCACTGCGACTCATTTTGTTGTATATAAGTCCAGTCTTCAGCCACAAATGGATTGTCTGGTTCTGAGTGATTCACTTTTTTATGAGTGTATCTGTGTTAAAAAAATTTGCGTTTCATTATATGCAATTTTTAGTAAAATTTATTTTATGTATTTAATTCAAAAGGCATTTCAAAATCCAATAACAGTGTAAAATGTTCGAGCTTATCCCTGACAAATCTCCCAAATTGAAAACAAAATTAAAAAATAAGGACTTCATAATACGAGAACAAATTGACATATTTGCATTTCATTATAAGCAAATTTTTAGTGAAATTTGTTTTTATCATAACTTGTTCAAAACGCATTTCTGATAAACATTTCCTTAAAACGCATTTAACAACCCTTCTAGAATATAAATGTTATTAAAATCAAGTACCAGATATCTATAGCATACCCTTCATTTCAATACTTCTACATAAACATAAGTGTGCATGCATGGTTCAACAAATTGTGATTCTGAAGAAAAAAAATTTCCCTAATTTTAATTCCTAAAAATGAGAAAAACATATTTAAAATGGTTAAAAATGTTTTATTGAACAAAAATTATTTTAAATTTCATTCTCTTCATAAATATTTTTATTATGATTTCTTTCAAACATAAACGAAACAAATAAGTTTTTAGGCATTTTAGGCGTAACCATTTCGAAAAATATACCATTATTCAAGCCCTGTAAAAAACTACAGATAAGTATCTCTCAATGACATTTATTACTATTTTATTACAATAATGAATTAAAACCATTTCAGTTCAATACCGACTTCATTTCCTTATAAATATAATAAATGCAGTGACTTTTAAGGGTTGTCAAAACAAGTCTGCTTACTGAAAGTACACCTTGGTTTGATCAGCAATAACAATCAAGCAGTGAAGTTAGTCTCTCCTCTAACATTACAATTACATTAATCATATAACAAAAGCTTATTTTGAGTCCAAATTGTCCAAACTTTAAACAATTTGTAATCAACGGGCTGTTGATAATTAAGCCATTTCTAGACTATAACAAGACAGTAATGAAATAAATGTCACTTTACTAACTTTTCACTTTTAATTCTATTGAGAAGTTTTCATGTTTTTTTTCTATTTACAATTTTCTACTAAAAATGTCTTTAGTTTGTTTAGAGCTTTATACCTATGTGATATTTTATTTTTCTCTTCCTTGGGCAATTCGGCATAAGTTAAATTGTAACCATCAGGTTGAAAAATGCAATCCCAACCAAAATCACGCGTACCTCTTGGAGACACTATTTTACCGGTTGTTTTACCTTGAAATAAAATTACATCTAGGTTGTCATTTGAACAAGAACAATATGCAAATGTACAAATGGCTTGAGCAGATTTGTCATCCCATCCAGTTAAAAGTCGCGTCAAACCTTCGGGCTCCAATTTTTCTAAAAACCATTTTATATATGGACCAGGCAGGCCCTTCAAAGCGTTAAAACTTAAACAAGTATCTTCAACTACAACAGGTTTCATAAGGCGGCGAGCAGCTTCTTGACATTTCTTTATTGATACCTCCTCGACTTCACCCTGCAATTCTGGCAAATCCAGCTTGTGATTTATAACCTCAAAAGGGAAATTGGTGCCTAAGATAGCCTTAACCTCTTCCAACTTTTTTATATTACCAGTGACAAAAGTGAGCGTTCTTTGCGTCATGCTTATGTTATTTTAAACACGACGAATAATATCTACGTATTATATAAGACATACATTGATAAAAAAAGACAAATATGTCAATTTTCTTATTAAAAATATAACTTATGTAGAAACTCCACTCCACCATGACAAAATTATGAGATTATGAGTCATAGATAAATAAATTATGAGTTATGACATTGATGCACAGACTAGATAGAGAAACTGACCAGTCAACGTCAGCCAAACGTCAGTTTCTCTATCTAGCTTTGAGCATAGAAAATAGCTATAGCTAGCTATTGTCTATGCTCAAAGCTATCTAGTATGTGACACGAAATAAGCAGTGACGGGTGAGTGACATTGACATCACAAAATGGCGCGCTTGGAGTTTGCGGGTGTGAAGAGGGCTAAAGAGAGGCGCGGAACGTCAGATTCAATTCTTGCAATGTCAATGGGTGCGTTTGGCAGAAAAAAGCGCTAGCAAGCGCTTGTAAGCAAAATGGCGATCGTAAGCGGTAAGCGCTGTCAAATCGTAAGTAGCTATTTTCCTCCAGGACACGATGTTAGTTTTAACCGTGGAATCTAACCTAATTTAAATATATGTTTGTAAAGTATTCATATTAAAAACTTACCAATCATGAGTTTTTAATAGCATGTATATGTTTATTCATGTCATTATATTACTTAAAACTAATATTGCACAAAACAACTTATAAACTCTACTTCAAAACAAACAAATTAAATAAGCAAAATGGCGGATTGTGTCAGCGCTACTGAAGTAGCAATCGTGTCCTGGCCGAAAACTATTTTAGCGCTTATAAGCGCTTGCTAGCGCTTTTTTCTGCCAAACGCACCCATTCTATACGAACCATTTTTTTTGTTAGGACATTACCTGGCGTGCATTGATGATTGACATTTGACAATTGACACTGACTTTTTTGTTGTTGTGTTTGTGTTGTGTTGTACGTATACGTCTATGTTTGTAGGTAATGACTACGTTAGCACCAGTCACAGTCAGCAGTATTCTTACGACGGCTTTGGCTGTTGGCTCTGACAGGGTAGCCAACAAAGTGGCGAATGTAGGGGCGAAGATATTGGCCAAGAGTTCGTGATGGTATCCACACGTAGGAATTGAAAGGTCGTTCAGTTTGCTTCGGTTCAGGCCAACGTGCGGACGAATTTATTTTATTTTAGACGACGGCTGCGTGGCACAGTGGCTTAGCAATGAATGGCTGCGCTGGGGGCCGCGGGTTTGAATCCCGCACGGAACAAGTATTTGTATGTCTTACAAATAATTTTACCGGGTCTAAATGTGTGTCCTTATGAAATGTATGTTTGTAAACTGCCTCCGCGATACAGGAGAAAATCCTAGTGTGGGGGTAATGTTTTTATAAAAGAATAGAGAATATTAATGGGGCTGTAAATGGATATACGAAATGCATGAAGTGCATATTGTCACAGCAAACACCTGGGCGCCGAGCTTCAGCACGTCAAGCAAGTTCTGCACGACAACAAGCTTCGGGTCCCGCGCCTACGTCACAGTGACCGAGTGAAGCCGGCCACAGTCGAGCGTGTGCCTGCTGTACTACCATATGTCAGAGGTGTCACAGACAAGATTGGCTATATCTTGAAGCGAGCTTCTATTAGAACATTCTACAAGCCGCCGAAGAAGATTAGTCAGTTCCTACCATCCGTCAAGTGTCATATTCCTCTACAAGATGCAGGAGTGTACAAGCCTGATTGTGAATGTGGTCTCTCTTATATAGGACAAACAAAAAGATCAATTAGGAGCCGCGTAAAAGAACATATAGCTGAGGTGAAGCGTCAACGTTCCGGGAAGTCTGCAGTTTGTGATCATATCCTAGACGGACCCAACCATTACATCAGATTTGATAGACCACAAATCCTCGCGAAAGAACACCGATTCCTACCAAGGATGATACGTGAGGCTATTGAAATTAAAAAACATCCTAATTTCAATAGAGAAGGAGGCTGGGTACTACCACCTACTTGGGATCCTATAATCAATAAAATTAAAACTAAACCCAAGCATACCACTGCAAGACCTCAGGACATAGTCAGTTCATTTTGCATAGATCGGACCATAAACAATAATTAAAAAAGCTGAAGGTACTCTGGGTTTAACAATGACATCGGGACGTCAGTCCTCTCAGTCCCCCGTGACCATGGGTGCTGGAAAGCGCCCGAAACGTCGGGAATTAAAAATAAAAGTAAATAAAAAGTAAAAAATAAACGCGATAAAATCCGTAAAAGTAGTTTTAATCAAACTATGCCATTTTACGCTGCACGAAAAGAAATTCCTACGTTAAATAAATTACTTGTTGATTTGCGAGATGAAATAAATTTTAAAGTTGGGCTACCACACTATGGAAAATATTAAAACGACTCTGATATAAATACAAAAAGCGTCAATTAAAACGAAAAATGGATTTAATTACTTGAATAAAATAAAAAAATACAGAGGTAGAGAAGCTGACTATTGGCTATTTAGACAAAACGTTTATTCTTTCCTCATATGAGGTGGAAAAATGTTGGCAGTTAGAGTCTGAAGAAGGTGTATTGGTCAGAGATTCTGCTATGGGTAGGCGAGAAATAATTGCATACGCTGGGACTACAGACTGCTTCATTAATAATGTTCAAGTCACAAAAAAATCATCCGACTATCATGATGATATGAATACCAATAACTTTATAAAATGGCTGGAAAAATAAGTTTAACCAAACCTGACACCTAATTTTGTGATTGTGATGGACTATGCACCATATCATAGTGTACAAACAAATAAAATCTCTACTATGGCGAGTCTCAAAGCAAGTATGGTAAAGTGGCTTCAAGACAAGAGGTTGCTGTTTTCCCCACAAAGCTCATACATAAAGCTAACGAACTGTGCTTGCCAGGCTTGAACCCGCAACCTTGTGATTGAGATGCAAGTATACATGCTTTTATATCCCATTCCATAATTACTGTCCCTACATTTCAAGAACGCTATTTGTATTGAAACATGCAGCACTGTTAATTACAGTGCTGCCAATCGGATTACCCGTCAAGTTAAGATAAACGCATGGAGGTTAGACTACAGGCGAACGACCGCTGTAGAAAATAGTGTCACAGAAATATGGACAAAATAAGTGAGGCACTGCGATCGCTAAGTTGTCACAATAAAAGTGGGCTGTCGTGCGCTTGTTTGAAATGATTGTAATATCATATAAGGAAAATAAGTATGATTTATTAATAAATGAATTATAAATTATGTTTTTTATAATTATAATTGTTATAAATTATTACAAATATACATTATTAATTATTATTGATTTTTTTAATAGTATTTCACCATTTTATAATGTTTCTTTTTGTCAATAATTAAAAAATTACTTCGCAGATACAGATTCATAGGTACTTACCGACGGCAGCGCGGCTATAAATTCTACAATTTTTCAGGGACAGGCGGGCTATGCTTTAGCACGTAGCGATCGTTCTCCAGTTCTATAACCTCCCTGGGTAAACGAACAATACTCTCAGTACGCTCTCAGGTCTCAGCGGGTCTCAGGTACTCATTTTGATTATAAAAAGACACTCTATGGTAAAGTTGTTCAAAACGACTATAAATCAATAGCACGCTACAGACTATAAACCAGAAATTTCTAGCGCGCTATTAAATACGCTATGTTATAGCGCGCTATTTATAAAAAATGTGTAGGAGGCCGGCAAGCGCGTTAAGTTTAGCAGCACGCTTCATTACATGTCGTTCATTGGATAGACCGTGTGCTATATAAGAACATTGTTTCCTTTGATCATTGTTATTGTTGATCGAAGATTGTTTCGTAATAAGTCGCATTTTAGATTAAAATAAAATAAAGTGGTAAAGAAAAATCAATGAACGCTCTTTCATACTTTGCAGACTTTCTATAATCCTAAAAATATTTTTAAGGCGTGTACTTTTTGAAACAAAATAAAATTAATCATTTTTTATTATAATTGATGTCAACGTTATTTTAACCTTAATATAAATTATAAATCAATTAAAGATTTATTTAAAAGTTTATTGATTGTATATACAAAAATCAACTATTTACATACATTACTATATACACTTTTGTATCTCTATTTTATTTACATTTTAAAAACATTAGTTAGGCTTCTTTTGTAGCAGACAACTGTGTCCTTCGATCACTTATAAATAAATAACGTCTAACACTAAATTAGTTCGCGCGCGATGAATAGCGTGCTGCTAGATTAAATTTCCGTCACGCGTCTACTCCCAACAGCGCTGCTGCTAGAACAAGGAACATACTACTCTCTAGAGAGAGCTGCTAGATAATTGCGGCATGATATGAACAGCGCTAAAGCGTCATAGCGTCATAGCGCCATGGCGACTACTTACGAAGAGATAGTGCGCTATAATATGCCGCTATGCGCTATATTAACCACCATTACTCTATGGTACTCATAGACAAATTTTTTCTTCTGAAATGACTGTCAAAATTTGTTCCAAAGAAGTACCTGAATTTTGTTAGTATGTCCAGCCTTTTCTCATCACACTGAAAAGAGTATTGGTTTAAAAGTTTGTTACTAACGTACAAAAAATAATCGAACGTATAAATTATTGGCCACCACGTCTTAGTTTAGATTTCAAAATACACAAAGGAGAAAAATGCCGAGTCAAGAGGTAGTCACAACGAAGGTTGTAGTTCATCCTTTAGTATTGTTAAGCGTTGTGGACCATTTTAATCGAATGGGAAAAATTGGCAACCAAAAGCGAGTAGTTGGAGTTCTATTAGGGTGTTGGAGAGCCAAGGGAGTCTTGGATGTTTCGAACAGCTTTGCGGGTTTGTATTAACGTATTACAATAATTTTTCATTTAATTTCCCACACAAAATTAGAGATAGTAAAGTTTTCACGCAATTTTATGACATCTAACACTTGAATAGACTCATCACTTATTTTTGCTGTTTCCATTGTTTTCCATAGAGGAAAAGCAGAATAATGTGGAGCAGCAGTGATGTAGATAAGGTGAAAGGGGTTGCAGTTCTTTACATTGCACTACTTGTACTAAATCTTAAGAAACTGTAATGACTGTGTGCTTTAATTTAAATAGGTTGCTTTTAATTATTGAATAGTTCATTGATTCAATAAATTAAAACAAGTTGCTGCCTTGAATTGATTTCATAATACCCATTTCCCAGGCTTATTCATTTTACCAGTTAGATGTAAAAGAATTAAGAGGATACCTAGGCAGCATTCAGTCCATACAAATCTATTCCTCTGTTTACTTTCTGTATAGCAACAATAGAGCAAATATTTTATTAGAGTATTATGTTTACTACTGCCATGTGTCCATATTTTTTGTCTTAATTTTCTTTCTTTCATTGATTTTAAAAATAAGGATTTTTTCTTCTTTTATATTGTGGTTAGGTCACAGTGATTCTGCCGATATCCTGTTGTTCCTTTACATCTCGTCTTGAGGCTTCTTAGTGACTTGAACTTGTTTAATAACGAAACACATCTAAATGCAGAGTTATTGACAACACAATAAAGAACAATCATCTAGTTATTGATAAAGGGGTTCCCTGGGGTTGGCTATAGATATCCAGTACTTGGATTTTAATTATGTTTTCAGTTTATGAGGTTTGTCATAGTTAAGCTTGAACCTTTTACACTGTTTTTGGATTTCAGTTAAAAATTAAAATGCCTTTTAAATGATAAAAATTGCATGTAACCAAAAGCAAATAAGTCAATTTGTTTTTTTAACACATTCATAAAAGGTTAATCACTCGGACTCAGATAATTTTGTGGGACTGATATACAATAAATTGAGTCACAGTGAAGGGCAATCAAGAGGTTTTTCAGAAAACAAAATTAAACAACTCACATTAAATTGTTTCATTTACCACTATCGTAGAAGAGTTTAGGGCAATCAAACTTTATAGATACGATTGGTCAAATCGGTTCTAAAACTAAATTAGCACGCCCTGACTTCAGCCCCCTTCATACCCCTAGAGTGTTTTTGTAAAGCTGTAGGCATGGAGGGAGAGCAGCCCCCGCCCACTGTAGCTCGCTTCCGCAGTTTTGGTTTATTTACCAGCCTCAGCCGCTAAGGCTTTCTTAGGGGACCTGCGATTATCTACACAAGGGCGAAGGGGTTGCACTTCCCGCAGTGCCGAAGCTGTTGCAGAAGTAACTTTGTGTCAATATTCCCGTGTATAAAAAAGTGAGGTTATGATTTTACAAAAAAAAAATAATACTCATAAACTATATATTTCTGCAAAGAGGGACCCCCTCCCCCCTCCCACCACAGTATGCGAGTACTGGAAGTCTATAGTTTAACCGTTGCCTGTGCAGGGAGGGAACCTTCTGAAATTAATACAACTGCCTTCTAATTGGATCACTTACAAACAAGTTTAACAAAATAAACAATGTACATAGTCATTAGTTTCTATTGTTGTCCAATTTTAAAGAAGGGAAAAGGAAGTAGGGGATAATACTTTCATTAATTTTTACAATTGTCTCTTTCAGTTGTTTAGGCACAGCAAAAGTTTTTTAAAATATAGCAAACCTTCAAATTTTATGCAGCCTGAAATTATCCTCCTTATATTTGTAGCTGTAACTTTGTAGCTATCATTACAGCATTCAATTTCATTTTTTTATTGACTTAAAGACTGCATTTATTCAATGGGTTTATTGTTGAAGTGGAAGTTTTCAAAATATAAAGTAGTCAAACTATTTATCTCATCATCATCTCATTACAGCCCTTCACAAGTCCACTGCTGAACATAGGCCTCCCCCAAGGTATGCCACGGTCCTGAGCCACCTGCATCCATCGACTCCTTTTAGTGGGGGGTCGCCCTACACTTCGCTTCCCGGTACGAGGCTGCCACTTGAGAACCTTTTTTTCCTATCGGTTGTCAGTTCTTCGAGCTATGTAGCTGGCCCATTGCCACCAGATTGAGCACGCAGAGAGGGTAGGCCGTATAAAACCAGATGCCGACAAGCCACTGCCAGTAGTTGTAACGCTGAGAACGAAAGAGGCTCGTGATAAGTGGATTAGAAGTCGCAAAAAACTTCTGACCAATGGCGAAATTTATGGTACAAATAACGACAACCGTATTTATATAAATGAGAATCTCACTAGATATAAAAGGAACCTTTTATGGGTTACTAAAAATCAGCTTAGGAAAACCTACAAGTACATTTGGGTACAGGATGGAAAAATACTCATAAGAAAGAGTGATGAACAGAAGAAAATAATGTCAATTAAGAGTGAACGTGATATTGAAAAATATATAGAAAACAATTTAAATACGGCAACTAGCTAGATGTTGTTGTTGGTCTCACTAGCCTCACGCACACTTAGTGCGAAGTAAACACTGCGAGCTCAATAACATCAAGTAAAAGGTGATCGTTTCGATGCAATTATCACACTAGAATGTCAATATACAAGATTTAAAACAGCGAATTCCTGGGTTCGGAGTATATCTTGCAACAATAAATATTTACACATATTACACATAAATATTCGGTCGATAAGAAAAAACTTTAATGAATTGCAAGTGTTTGTAAAAAAATGCTCTGAGGAGTTAGCATTACTAGTGGTGACAGAGGCAAACATTAACAACAATGAGCTATCACTATACCACATGGAGGGGTACAATCTATTTGCAAACACGAGGGAGACTAAAAGAGGAGGGGGTGTGATTATTTACGCTAAGGAGTATCTTAGTTTCAATGCACACAAAACCCTAACGAGTTCACTGGAAGGACTTTATGGTAAACTCACTGTTGACCACTCTATTCTTAATATAATTGCAGTCTACAGACCACCAAAAACGAATAGGTCGTTATTCGTTGATGAAATGGAGCAGATAATTACGAAGATCCCAGCGAGCGAGGATATTATCATATTAGGTGACGTCAACATAAACCTGTTAGGAGTGAGTGAAAATCAACTGGTGTCAAAATATAAGGACTGCCTATGTGGACTAGGCCTACAGTGCGTAATACCGGTTACGGAGGTGACGCGAGAGGCTATCGTAGCGGGTGTAAAAGAAGCGTCGTGTATCGATCATGTTTGGGTGCGAGCAAGACAGCTGCGGGACTGCTACTCGTTCATCATTGAGTGCTCCATGTCGGATCATCATGTGGTGGGAATCTCGGTGCCGTGTAAACATGTGACGCAACACTGCACCGACAGCGCGTACTCGGACACTCGGTTTGTAATTAATAATAGCCTAGTAGCTAAGCAGATCACTGAGTATGATTGGTCTCAACTGTTGTTCATTGATTGTCCGTTAAAGTTGTATTGTAAGCTGCAAAATGCTTTCAATGATATTTATGAAAATAGTAAGACTGTAATGCCAAATATTAAAAAACGGGACACACAACCGTGGATAAGCAGAGATTTAAATAAAATGATAGTGCGTAGGGATAAGTTATTTAGGGATTGGAAAGAAACACCAAACAATAATACGAAAAGACTCGAATATACACGTTTTAGAAATAAGGTAAATAAATTAATATTTAAAGCAAAAAATAGGTTTCGGCAGGAAGAAATCAAGAAATGTAATGGAGACCCAAAAAAAATCTGGGACAAAATTAATAGCTGGACAGGTAGGAAGAAAGCAAATATAGATGATATAGTTAAAAGATATTTTGGAGATAAAAACACAATGTACAATATATGTAGTCAATTTGCAGATACATTTACGAACGAAATTATTGCTATTAAACATAATTGTAGTATTAAATTATTAGATAGAAGTAAATATGTTAAAGAAAGTGATGTAACGTTTCGCTTTAAACCAGCTACCAGTGACACAGTGAGTAAAATTATCGATCAGCTGAGCTGTAGTAAGGCGCCAGGCACTGACTGCATTCGAGTTATGGACCTAAAAATAATCAAGGATAGAATCTCGCCGGTCTTATCACACTTTGTCAACCTGTGTTTATCGAAAGGGGAATATCCTAGCACACTCAAAAAAGCTTTAATCAGGCCCATCTACAAGCAGGGAGCGCACTCAGAGTATGCTAACTATAGACCGATTGCTATCTTATCGGTCATTAATAAAATAGTTGAGAAGATGGTAGTCGGCCAGGTCAGCGAATTCCTGGAGCAAAATAGCATATTAGCGGATGCACAGCACGGTTTTAGGCATGGTCGTAGCACCACAACAGCACTATCACAGTTTTCCGAAGATATAAACAGTAGTCTGCACCAGGGCCATCAGGTCCTGGCGCTGTTCATAGACTTTAAAAAAGCCTTCGATACCTTGGATCATGAGATGCTGTTACAGGCCATGGATGAGTGTGGAATCAGGGGTCCAACAAATAGGTGGTTTCGGAGTTATCTGAGTGACAGAACATTACAAACCTGCATTTCTGGTGTTGCTGGTAAAGAAGCAGCGGTACAGCTTGGTGTTCCAACTGGTTCAGTCTATGGTCCCGTTGGCTACGTTATGCATGTCAATAGCGTCAGTAATGTGGTTAAAAAATCTCGAGTATATATGTACGCGGATGACATATGCCTTATATATTCCTCTAAGAATATACAAGAGGTCAGGGCTGTGCTGCAGGGTGACTTCGATAATGTTACTCGTTGGGCTCATGACAATGGTATCATACTTAACCTTAATAAGACGAAAGTGATGCATCTGTACTCACCGTACAACTTAGTGGCAAAAAATGTCAAGAGCGTGGATATAGGTATTGTGGGCCACACATATGAATGTATGCACGATAAAAATTTAAATTGTATTTGTCAAAAGCTGGAGTATGTAAGTAGATTTAAGTATCTAGGTCTGTGGGTGGACTATAATATGAATTGGAAAACACA